TAATGTGGTGGGGTCAGGTTAAAAAAAAAAAAGTTTTCTATTATTAAGGTTAACAATAGTAAATCAGTATTTTAATATTAAAAAAAAATAATAAATAAAATGCCTATTTTTGAACAGTTTATTTGGTCTATACAGTCTATACTGGTTTACAGTATTAATCAGCAAAGTTATGAAGAATACCATAAAGGCAAGTTTAAAATATGCAATTACAGTAAGCATCAGCATTAATAATTTAGTAATATGAACAATAATATAATATAATATAATGAGAACTGATAATAATATATAATAGATTTTTAAAATTGAAACATACATAAATAAAAATCTGATAAAATGAGTAAAAATTGTTCATAAGCAATACAGAATGATCATAATTAAAGAATAGATGTTCAAAGTTCTTTGTAGAAAGAACTATTGGGGCAAATTGCAACCAGATTTTGTATACACACTGCCCTGAGTATGCAGTTTCAATTTTCAGGAAAAAATTTCACTTTAAAATTCAGCTGAAAATGTGAAATTTGGCACTGCTGACCTCTTAATGTCCTTATTACATAAGCTTTATAACAAATTTTGAACTTAAACAAAATATAATAATTTTATTTCAATTGTAGAAGTGAATACAAATGTGGAAATGATGATTTAAAGGCTCTGATATCACTACTGTAAAAACTGCATTCACTCCATACATCATTTGCAATTCTGATATGTATGGAGAATGGTTTGCAATTCCTTTTATACCTGAAATTTGTTAGAAAATATGCAATATATTTTCTAACAAATATGTAATATGCATATTAATGAGACAGCTGTAGCAAATTTTGCTGTAGTGGCCAAAGTGAAGTAAAATGTTTTTTCTGGAAATCAAAACAGCATACATATGACATTATGTATACTAAATTTGGTTGAAATTTATCTAATAGTTCTTTCTACAGAGAGCTCTAAACAGCTGATCTTTAATTATGATCATCCTGTACATTTATAAATCACAAAATGAAATTGAAAAAGGGAAAAAATAAATGTAATAATTGTGAATTAATGAAACAGTAAAAAATATAAATCACAAAAGATTGTAAAAGTCTACTAACATACGCTTAAGCAGTTAAGAGCACACAGGGTTGGGAACTGATAGAACTGACCCAATGTTATGTAAATTCATGCATTTCCATGCACTGACTAGCAGCAAGTGGCAGTAACAGTGTATGTTCCTACATCTAATATCTCCTTCATGTTATTTATCTGGGGACTGGCTCTAAGCATTATCAAATGTAATAATTATTTTTATTTTATAACAATAATTTAAATATATAAAAAAACTGACTAATTTGTTAACAAAAACTTTTCAGTGGGTAATTTAATTTATTTGATAAAATTACTGGTGGTGACCGATCATTCAGGCTCCTAATGACCAGCTGTACAGTGCCTGTTAATTCTTAAATCATGGATAAAAGTTTTTTAAATTTAAGAAAATTATAAATCAATTTGATATTATAATATAAATATTAATTTATAGACTCTTAAGATGTTGAGAGAGTTTATAATTTAGTTTTAACTTAGCTTAATGTTTTTAAAGCTCTTGGTATCCATTATTTTGAATATAGAAAATTGAATAGGAGCATTGCATTTATTTTGTAAGTAGGAAAATTGGGTAGATTAATATTCAATATTTTAAAATTAATTTATATAAATTATTTTGTTATAACATAAAATGATAAATGAATGTATTATAAGAAGGAAAATTTGTTTAACAAAAAAGAAAAAACAAACTGGTTACAATTTAAAATATGCCTAATTTCATTATTTTTTAAAGCAGCACATTAATTGTTATTTAGCATACATGGTTTAAAAATAGAGGCAGTGATTTTTCTAAATTGAAATAAAGAAAAATTTATTTATTATTACTTTATTATAAAAATTTTAAAGTAAAAAATAAATGAAATATACAATGACTTTAAATTAACTACCCTTTCATTGACATATGTTGATGTCTTTCATTGACATATGTGTATAATGACTTTAAAAGAAAATAAAAACATAATTACAAACCATCAGGTTAAATTAACATTCAATTAAATTTTCAAAACTGTTTTTAGATTAATAGTTTTATTAATATCTTTATTTTTCTAATTAATACTTTTTAAAAATGTAATTAAAATCTAATTTTGGATAATACAAAATTAAATAAGCAATACTAAGATTCAGAGAAAAGTTCTTTAGAAGAAAATGTTCTTTAAATGATTTTAGAAATGGAAACTATTATATTGTACTATCAAATATTTTCATTCATTAATTAATCATCATTAAAAATTTTCTCTCAATACTTAATGTATTATTGTGCTACTTTGTTTTTTTCCCTTTCCATATTTCTTTTATTCTCTCAATAATTGACACTTCTTTGACATTAATAATGATATCTATTACATAATGGACATTTAATGTTTTAGATTAAACACTTACAAACACAGTTTACATACACATTTAAAATATATACATGAAAGTGCAGACATTTAAAAAATAATTTAATGTATATTGCAGTCAAGAAATATGAAAGTTAAGAATTTAGAATACATTATTATATTTAGATTAAAAAGTAAATAATAAACTTTGGATTTTAATTATAATTACTTACCTGTGCATGAAGGAAAGAATATTGCTACTAATAAAGTAAATGTAGTAGTAATATCGGCAACTAGCTGATTACGTTTTGTTTCTTTTTCTTCTGGTTCTTTCAAAGAAATATATTCTCCTTTTGCCCAATAATGACTTGGTACATTTTCTAAAAATATAATAACAGAAATTTTTTATTTATTATTATTATTATGAGTTGTATTATAATGCTATGGTTTTAAGAAGAATTTTTAAAAATCTGAACTTATAATATTTCAAAGGTTTTTTTTTAATCAATATTATTGTTCTGATACAATTATTGTTTTACTTTTGTTTTAATACATGCTTTAATCTTATAAAAATTTATTTTTTGAATAATCTGACTGTTTTTCTTCTTTTTATTTATTAATTTCATATATATATTTGATTAATTTTAATATGCTTTTTAATTTTAAATATTTCAATTTTGATAGAAGTGCAAATTAATTGTAGGCTATACTGTATGAAATATCACTGAAGTGGAGAATTAGTGAAGCCTCTTCTATGTGGCTTATAGAATTGAGTTCTTTCTCATGTATCAGTCTATTTTAATTAAACTGTCATTTTACATAATATGACATGAGGAAATTAAAAATGTAATAAATATCAGTAGTTCACATGATTTCATTTGAGACACAGTGAGGTCAAAGTGATAATGACCAAGGTTGCTGGCACGAGCACTTGCAACTTTTTCTAATTCTTTGTTATGCCAGCAATGATGTCACTGCCTCAGTAGTAGCAAATGGTCATCATAAGTGGCCCCCAAAACAATATTATTGACTTGCTAGTACTTCCATTCAAATCTTACAGACAGAAAACAAACTGCCTATTTTAATCCATGTGCTTGGACTTAAACTGTCAACAAATATCACATGATTTTCTTTTAATCATGCTAAATCTTAGACAATTAGACCACTTTAATAAACTGTTAATAACTATATGCAGATCAATCTTTTTTTGATGCAATAGTTTTTGCTATTTTAGAAAACTAAGCTTAGAAATTTCTTCTGTTAAATTTGCCAAAATAATTTAAATTATTTTCATTTTCAATAATATTTCACTGGATTTTCCTTTTTTTTAATTAAACTGTATATGCAGTAATTTTAGATAGAAAATGATGATTGCAATGTTTTTTCAGTAATCTAAAACAATTATTACTATAAGAAACTATGAAATAAATGCTTAATTACAAATTAATTACATAATATTTTAAAAAATATGAGACTTCTAATATATATTTTTTTGATGTATTTTACAAGAATTATAGAAATGAAAACTGACTTGTTAGAAAATATAATCTAAAGCTTTTGGAACACGCCATCTTTTCCATGCTTCATTTTACTTTCATATTTGTTATAACTATCACAATTTAATTCTGACAGATAATGATGAAAATTACTTAAATAAAGTTACAAATATAATATAAATTAATAATTAATAAAATAAATAAAAAAGTATAATTAGCATAAGCATAATAATTAATATTTGTTAGTATATAGTTTGCAGAATTTATCAAATTCATAAAATTATTGTAGAAATCTAAATACACTTAATAATAAATAATCTAATTACTTATGCTTAACTAAAATTGTACTGTAAAAAGATTAAAAAAGAAAAGAAAAATGTAAATTACCAGAAAAAACACCACTTGCAAGCCCAGGAATTGCTTTAACTTTTTCAGCATCATTATTTTCAAAGTATGGATCACAAATATAATCTGTTATATTTCCAGTAGCCGTTTCATTTTTATGACAATAAATATGGAAAAGTGAATCGGTAATATTTTGATCTTTACTACAAGTCATACTTCTATTCTGTGAAAGTATACGATCTCCCAATTTACAATAACTATAAATAAATTATGAAAGTTTATTATGATTGCAAAAATAATCATTAAAGTTTAATTTTAATAGATATTTTCTTAAAATGATATAATAAGTTTTGAAAATTATAATTTTAACAATCGACAAATAAAATCTGAAACAGAAAAATATTCATTTGTTGAAAATGAGTTCAATAAATTAGCTTATGATAATTAAAATCTGAAGTGGTAACAAAATAAAAAGAAAATTATACTGAAAGAGCCATCAAACAACTAATATTCATAAAAGCTGTTAATGACAAAAATGAATATTATGAGATACAGAAACACACCTTATTGACTTCCAGCAATGGGTTTAATACAATAAAAATGTTTTCGACCTATTCATAGGTCCTCCTCAGTTAGAATCTACAGAAATGGAACAAACTAACAAATCAAATTCAAAACTGCCATTTTAAAATTAAAAATATAAAAATAAACATTAGATTATTTAAAATTTAACAAAAAAAAATTGTAAAATTTGTAAAATATAATTCATGATATAAATGTCAAAGTTCAAGTTTGAAAAATACATTTATATGCCATGGATAGACTGTCCACATTGCTAAAATTAATGTACATTTGTTTTCTATGAGTTTTAAATATTTTCTGTTAGGTCAGATTATTGCTACATCTTCCCATGCAATGCATATGTTCTTCTGCTTGGTGTAGTTCACTAAATCTGTGCTATTTGTATTCCTATTAATTGTATATTGATGCTCATTGAGCCTTGCTTCAGGTTCCTCACAGTGGCTCCCACATAGTAAGTTTTTGTTGAAAATGCTGATCTTCCAGTAGGATGGAGTAGACTTCTGGTATGGTGAAAAATTTTCTTTCAATTTGTCATCTCCAAATATACTAAAATTTGTAGGATTGCATTTATAGGCTACTCTTATGTTGGTACTCTTGGCAACCTTCCTTGTGGATTTTTTTTGTGAGGTAAATTACTTTCCCAGACTTGATTTTTTAAATGAACATCAACATTTAAACTTAATTTAATATCATTAAATGGTATTAAATCCATTGCTGAAAGTCAATAAGGTGTGTTTCTGTATCTTTCATTCTCTCACATCCAGATTGATCTAAGAACATTTTTTTTGATTCTGATGAAACTGTGTTGTAGTTTACCTTGCTTTTTTACAGACACACTACGGTGACATTATTCAACACTTGGCAGATTATTCACCACTTTATTCAGTTGCAACTGAATAAAGTAGTGAATAATCTGCCAAGTGTTGAATAATGTCACCGTAGTGTGTCTGTAAAAAAAAAAACTAAGAATATTTTTCAAATGAATTTTAAAATGATAAGACTGGAGATTATACAACACAGCAATCATACAATAAATTAATGACAATAAAAAATAAATAATTTAAATAAGAACATATGTTTTCATCCATAGCTAATTAATAGAAACATCCTTTTGTAAAATTAATTGCCATTTTTATAAAAAATTTCATTTTATATTATTCATTCAAAATATCAAAAAAGAATTTAATGTTAAAATCAATATATAAATAAGTATTTATTAAATAAAATCAAATGTGTTTATTACCAAATAGCTTATTCATAAACAAACAGAATAGCATTCAAATAGAAAATTGTGACTTTGGAATAAAGTATAGTATTTGTGCCTATGAGGCATGTTGCTGATAAAATCAATGTTGAGAGATCAAATGCTTCTGTTCAGATGCTTTCAGCTTTTATAAACATATGTAGACAAATATATAGAACATATAAATGCACTTATGATTATTGGAAGTTTGAAACCCATTCACCTGGCAAGCAAGTTGTTAATTTGATTATGCAATTAGATTACAAATAAAAATACATTTTGAATACATCAAATAAAAAAAATTGATATGAGGCTGGAAAGACAGTTTTAAGTTTAAGGTAAGATGGATGTTAAAAATCCTCTTTTGCTAGGATTTTTAACATCCTTCTTATCAAATATATTTCTCCTCGTAAACACCTTTGCCTCTCCATACATTTAAAAGAACGTCTAGGACAGTGTTTCTCAACCCAAAACTCATCACACCGGAAAATAGCTGCTTTTTTAAGCGGACCGGTGACAATATTATTTTTAATTGAAAAAATTTTCTGTTGTAAAAATAACTGCAAACTACATTGAGCAATAAATATTTCTTATTTATTTACCAGTACATTAGTATACAAATCAATGTGACCACTGCTTTTCTTTTTTGCTAGTAAGATCATCAATTCTTGGATTTAAGGTGGTAACTGCAAGGCATAAGGTGAAACTAACACTTAAACGATTTCGTTGTTTCGATTTTATCATTGCCATTGCTGAAAATGTTGATTCACATAAGTAGTCTACATTTTTGAGAAAAATAGTAACATCCTAACTGCCTTTTCATGTAGAACTGGATATTCAGTTTTAACTTTAATCCAAAACTGTGTTAAGGGCATTGATTCAAACAACGTTTTTAATCCCAAGTCTGAACTAATTCGATTAGTTTTTCCTGTTCAATCTATTAGTTTGTTGATCAATAAATGGATTAATAATCCACATATTTCCTATTTGGGAACAATGCAGGACAGGTTAAATATATTTTTTTAAAGTTTTCGCAAACCAGTCAAATTAGAGTTGCAGACCGGAGGTTGAGAAACATGGCTCTAGGAGACTGACATGGACAAGGTAAATTTTATTTGTATGTTCATTTGAATGTTATATGGACAAAATTTTGTTATATAAACGCATAACAATATATTATAATATTCTTGCACTCAGTTTCATAAGGAAGTTGAAATAGTTAGTGAAAGAATAAAATTATAAATGTAGAATAGAATGCAACTTAATAAAATACAATGAGGAAAAAAATGTGAAACTATAAGCAAAATTCATGACATTTGTTATATACTACAATTCACAGAGTTAAATTTAATGTTAAATGGAATTACTTAAATTCAAAATTATTTTTGTTCTGTTCAAACATAATACAGTGGTACCTCAGGATATGAACGCCCCAGCATACGAAATTTTCAGGATACGACATGAAATTCGAACATATTTTTGCTCCACGATACGAACAAAAACTCACCATACGATGTTACATTAGTTCGCATTTTTCATTTGTTTTTCTTACTACAGTTATTTTTTTAANCTTTTTTTTTTCAATATTATGTGGAAAAGTTTTGACTGTTGTGCATTAATTGGAAAAGTTTTGGCTGTTGTGCCTTAGAAATCTTTTTTCTATTATGAATTGTTTCTCTTGTCGACAATATGAAAGATATAGCTAAAATATGTTGCACTACATAGAAGAAACAAACAAAATTATGAAATTTAAATAATATTTTATTTCATGGTGCTTTGTTGAAATGAAGAAAAAAGAAACTCTTCTAAAATCCAAATGAAAATGAAATTATTTGCAAGGACATTTTATTTCACTAAGCATTTGAAATGGGCATCCTGCAACATATGATAATACACAATGAAAGCTATAAATTCTTCCTCAATCTTCATAAGCTGCCCTGCCATGACAAAGCCCTGTACTTTATGGTATGCTAGGTGGAATTCTTGCTTTCTCGTGTACTCCTATGGTGCATTTTTTAACTGAACAACTGATATAATCATTTAAGATACAGTTCAAATTAAATTATTAATTTAAAAAAAATTAAATTACAAACTCACAAAAATATAAATTTATAAAATACAGATTAAAAAATATTCAAAATAATAAAATTTAACAAATACTCTTTGTAATTAAAGGTTATCTAAATATATAAAATTGCTTGTCCTGACTGACTGACTCATCATCGCCCAGAGCAAACCGCTTAACCTAGAGAGGTGAAATTTGGTACACAGTTAGGGTACGTCATGGAAACGCACACTAAGAAGGGATTTTTCGAAATTCCCCCGCGGGGGGAGAGGGAGAGGATTAAGGCTTAACCGGAAAAACGGCTTCTACTGTACTATTTTAGATGCGATTTTTTGTTTTCAACTATGTTTAGTCTTCATTGAGTACTTAGGTGTATTAAATTGATAACATTTCAGACATTTCGATTTTAAAAATGTTCGATCCATTTTAAATTCGAATTTGTTATTGCATATTGGTTCGATTATAGAACGATTGTAAACGTTCCAGAAAATTGATCAAATTGAAGATAGTTCGTTTGATTTTCGGCAATTCTCTTCAGCGGTAGGTGTTATATAACAATTACTATGGTTATT